GCCACACCACAGCTCCCTTGGAAGAGTGACGGGTCACTCTCATGTAACCCCGTTACAGAGGCGGCAACGTCAGAAGTCAAGTATCTTTGTTAATATAGATGATGCCACTCTGTAAAAGGAGAGGTCAGCCCCACGTTAAGGACTAAAGGTTTTTTAAACATTGGATCTAGCAAAGCATTAGAATTGAGAATCACATTTTTAGACTTCAAAGATCAAGAAAGAAGTCAAAGGTTCAAAGAGCGCAACGCCCAAGCGGTTGTCTCGTCAATACGTTACTCACCTTATGTCGAATAACACACTCGATCGATCGAGGACCATCGACACATAATCTTGGGACTGGAACCAAACTACCTCTCACAGGAAACAGACAAGCTTTTAGTGCGGACACAAAGCGTGGGTGCATGACATTGGATAAATTGCCTAACAAAGATATTGCTAGGTGCTTGGAGCAGAACTCGAAAGGCAGAAGTGGCAGTGAGCCGCGGTCTCAATAATTTGGCAGAGAATAGCGCTCGCGAATTGCGGTCTCCATAGCTAACCGCTGCTGAGCCAGAAATGATCGACGGATTGTCGTAGTTCCCAAAGAGTATTTCTGGTGGCTGCTTAATTATATCTGCAAGCTGATTTTTCCTGCGCCATTGCCAGTAGAGCCAGTAGCGACTATAAATGTAACGGTGCTACACGTACCCCTGTATGAAAGGACGGGTCGACCGTACAAATGTGTGAATTACACAAGTTGGTGTAATAATACTGTAACGGGGTCACACATACCCTGGAAACTGGGGGGTGTGTCACACGAGATGGTGTGACTGCACCAGTTAGAATACGGTACGTGGCTGGGTAGCCAGTAGTTTGCATGTATTTAGATCTTACTATATATATTTAGGGAAAACTATACATTTACAATTAGGCGGCTTTGCCGCAGATAAAAATAAATAATGTCAGTTATGGATTTAAACGGAAGAATTAATTAGCCTTGGGTTAAGGCAATAATTACTCTCGGAGTAAGCGGATTGCGATCCGTGGAACTCGTACTTTTTCTAAGTATAGAACGAAAGGTCGGTGACCTGACTTACGCTTCCTTAAGGCGCAAAGCTACGGCGCCCCGCAGCAAATACAGTGGTGTCTCTACACCGTAACAAGAAGCCAGGATTGCCAGTAGTAAAGCATATTACTATATTAATTAGGCTCTACTATATTAATTAGGTATTAATATATTAATCGGGAGAACCTAGGGTTTTGGTTGCCGCAACTAAAACAATTAAATATATCCATTTCAAAAACGGAAGAGCGTCTTTACCTTGGGTAAAGTTTTTGAGTACTTTGGAAGTAGCGATTGCGATCTACTACACTTGTACTGGTTCTTGAAAGGAATGTAAGGTCAGTGATCTTAGCTTTACTCCTCTAAGCAAAGAGCTACAGCAGCTTTGCTGCGCTTGGTAGCATTCGTAGTCAATCTACGCCTGAGTCGGTACGACCGATCATTTGTGAGGATCAAGGAATACTCCTAATTGCCCCAGTGCATATAGGACGGACTTAATACCTGCTGGGCCCTGAGGGCGTGGAGCACCTTGATGCGCAAGGGCTCGAAGCAATACATGCGCGTCTGGAGGTGTTTTCGAGCTATGAATATGCTGTGCTAGAGCACCTACAGCAGGTGATGTCAGCGTCGACTGCGTCCATGACGCCACCGTCGACAACAGATGATTCTTCCGACCCAGGTTACTCGTGGTGAGCATCAAGACCTTCGAAGGGAGGAATACTGAGAATCTCCTGCTCTGGGTGAGAGAGGCCGAGATTGCTATGGCATCCGCCATGTTCCAAAACGAGCAACACTGCGTGGAGCTGGCCATTTCCAAGCTCGGGAGCCGAGCGCGAGAATCGGCACTAACGTGCGGTGCTTCGGTTGAAGCTGCGTTCCCCTCCAGGGGAAGCGTCAGGTTTTTGGTGTGTTTGCCGCCTAATCAGGCATATCGCGTGCGATTGCGTTTCCTTGCTGTCCGACATGGCAAGAAGGATTTGGTGGACTGTGTCCAAGAGTTATGTACTCTCATTGTCGGTATGGTAGCCGATCTATCCCCGAGGCGAACAGTGACCGTCTTTATGGAGGGCCTCCGCATTGGCGTGGCCAGAATGGAAGTCCTCCGTTTGCATCCGTTTTCTTTTGAAAAGCTGTGAATGTGAAATTGAATGACGAATTCAACTTTAAATCGGCACGACATAATTGAAATGCACACCCTCAGAGCTCGTCAACGGGCCTGAGCCAATGGATCTCAGCTTTGCTAAGAAACAGAAAGGAGAGCTCCGAGCTGCCGGTTAGCGTTTAACTATCAGACAGTGTTTTGTCTGTGATGACACCCGTCACCTTCTGACTGATTGCCCCCTGCACAAGGCGCGTGTAGATTCATCGAGTCGACGATCGCTTCTAACCAGCATGGTTGGTCGCGGGGAAACGAGAAAACCAAGTAGGCGCGGGGCGCCCTACTGGGGAAGAACTGAGTTCTGTTTTGCCTCAAAGAGATTGAGGGCAGCAGGGCCAGCCCCGGATAGCTCCGTGCTCTTGAACACGGAACGCGTATGCAAGCCAGGCTTGCTGGTCGCTAAAGCGATTCTGAAGGGCTTTGATAAGCCATGGAAGATCCTTATCCATTCCGGGGCGTTGGGTAATAATGCTGGACGCCCCACGATCAACGGAAGTCAACTGTATGCTGAGGCGCTAAAAGCGCGGTTGAGTGATACCGTCACGGTTCGCTTAGCGATGAAGACATGCTTCACTGTTCCGAGGGTCCCTGTGAACCTCGTTGTCAAGTTCCTTGACTTTGATAGCGTGGAACGTTGCTTAGTCTTAGACTTGGTTGAAAGGTGCGACCTTATCCTTGGTATGGCATGGTATAAGCCATCGATTGATTGGAGGTCGAAGACCTTTGCCGCTACGCACACGTCTCACTGGGGAACTGTGGTGCGTCATGAACCCACCTCTGCTAGAAGCAGAAGCGCTATTGGCGCGGGCACTGGACCGAAACGTTGAATATGCTGGGTATCGGAGTATTCGAGTTGTCAAACACCGAAGGTGTATCGGACGAGTTCCGAGCACAGATTGCGGGCTAAACGTGGAGTGATATGTAACCCACTGAGCGTAGCTCGAGTTCCGGAATAGTCGCTGCATGTCAAGTGTGGCATGGTCGGACGAGGTCCGAGGCATTTTGGGCAAGACCCTGCTTTTGCGTGTGGAGGTGTACGTTATCCACTGGACGAAGACTGTAGAAACAGCAGCACATCGTTGGATGTTGTTAATAGCATCAAGGCTCCGATGAAGCAGGTAGTGGGGGCACTGAACGACGCCGAATGCGTGTTCCCGCTGGTCTCGGTAAGACGTAAAACCTCTATAGAGAGGAGACAGCCGTATGATATTTAGAAGACTCGGGGCGTCGATGCTGACCCAGGATAAGTCAACCGTAGACGATAGATCACAGCTATATACACTTGTCAACGCTTTGACGGGAGAGGAAGAAGGCAGACAATTTAGCCGAGGTGGTCATTATAAGATCGATCGAGAAGGTTAACTCGTCGTCGCTTCTGAATGAAACTGTCCTGGGAGACACTAAGAGGGTGCTGAACGCACAATCTGGATCGTCGATCCTGAAGGATCCCTCGGATCCTAATCATTCTTTGTAAATGAATTCCAAATTTCGTCCTCAAAGACCCGCCGTCCGTCCTACCTCCGGACCGAGGTGTGTGTCATGAGGTTGACCTGGTTCCGGTAACCAAATACTGCGTAACATGCCAATGGCCCCTGCCGCCTTCTTCCGTGCGAAGCACGAGGCAGGAATGGTGCGTGAAACCAAGTCTCTCCATTAGACACCTTCGTTTTGTATTTGGAAGCCGAGCGGCATGTGACGTATCGTTCACGCCTATAATAAGCGAAACGGTGCCACCATTCCGGCGCAAAGTCAATTTCTAGAAAGGATGTTCTTCATTGAAATATGGTTGGCTGTACAAAGTACAGAGCACTCGACTTGGTCGAAGGGTATTACCAATTGCTCATGAGAGCGAGTGATATTCCGCTGACAGCGGTGAACACTCCAAGCGGGAGGCTCTAGGAGTGGCAGGTGATGCCCCATGGGCTGTCAAATGCACCAGCAATATTGAATCGTCTTGTGACGCAATTGTTCAGGCTCCATCGGGCGTATGTACAAGTATTCTTCGACGACATCTTCGTCCACAGTCGTGCGATGCACGGAAAGACAGATGAGGAAAACCACATCGTCCATTTGAGAGCGGTACTAGAGTGCATGCGAACGAATAAGCTGTATGCCATTGCTGATAAGTGCATCTTCGGCGCGAAAGAAATTCCCTTTTCAGTGTGTTTCATTGGGAGCGTGGCCTTCGAGAGGATTCCGCTAAGGTCAAGGCCATTGTGGACTGGCTGATTCCGAAGAACCAAAATGCTTTGCGCTAGTGGCCTGGTCTCGCCCACTACATAGCGCAAATTATGTGGAATGTGCACGGCAGTTGTCAAAGCTCCTTCAGAAGGATATGGAATGGTGTTGGAACACGGAGCATCGCGAGGCTTTTGAGAGGGTCAATGACAGCCTCCTTCATGCACCACTACTGACGCTGTCAGACTTTGATTGTCG